CTTGCTGCTGTTGTAGGATGGAATTGTGCTATCAATTCAACATCATCCCCACGTATAGTGGTTGCTTGTTTGGCCTAGGGTAACCAGTCGTGGTGTGCTGCAGGCTGGGAGCTCTGGTCCCCAGCCAGCAAGCTTTCTGCTATGCCACCGGTCTCCATCCTACATGCTTTCCAGAGCCCTTATGCTGCATGTTGGCAGGCTTCCTCCTGTGTTTTATTCATGCTGCAGATGGTAGAGGGCATAAAAGCCATGGGTGTAGTAAATACACTTGTCCGGATCTGCTCCCTGCTGCAGCTCATGCCTGTGGAGCACGGCTTTCCAATGAGGTGGTTGGAAGCTTCAGATGGTGCGCCCTAGAGAAATAAGTGATGTCTGAAATGAAAAGACATGAAATGGTGAGAGGGACAAGTCCAGGCTGTAGCGGGAATGGAGCGATGCGATGCCGAGACTTGCTGTTATCTTGCTGTTATGCTGTGATTCTTAGGTTCATTTTCAGGCTGTATTTGCGTTTGTTCGGATGACTCCCGTGTAGGGACCACCCTACACTACACCCACTGTGTATCTTTCAGTTCAGTTACTGACCTTTACATGCAGCGAAACCGCACCGCGCTCGTCGTGCATCGCGCTTCTGCGCTGGGTTTGCGCTATGGCACTCCGCGCTGGTTTTGTATCATGTAACGTCGCTTTTAGTGTCTCGAAATAAAAGTTCCTTTTCAGAGCGCGTCTCCGGCCTCTTCACTGCGGGGCGGAGCGCTGAGGGGGCCGGGCGGAGCGCTGAGGGGGCCGGGCGGAGCGCTGAGGGGGCCGGGCGGAGCGCTGAGGGGGCCGGCCGCCATGGCGGGCCAGCTGCTGCAAGGCTATGGGCTGGCGGCGGCCTTGCGGAGCCGCGCTGCTCTCCGCCCGCTGGGGTTGCTGGTCCCCCCGAGCCGCGGGGTGGCTGACCTGGGGCCGGGGCACGGGGAGGCGGCGCTGGAGGAGAACCCCTTCTACGGGAAGTACCGACATAAGATCCAGGAGCTGCGGAGGTGCGGGCGGGCCTGGGGACATGGCTGCGGATGGGCCTGAGGGGAGGGAAGGGCAGCAGGGAGGCCGAGGCGGAGGGGCTCATTTCTGGGAATAGGGTGCTGAGGCAGGTGGGATTTTGGGAAGGAAGGAAGTAATTTTTAGCTTTGTGGCCAATGAGAAAATTAACTAGTTAGGCCAAATGCTGCCTTGAAGGAGGGTGAGGCTTTGAGCAACCTGGTCTAGTGGAAGGTGTCCCTGCCCATGGCAGGGGGTTGGAACTGGATGAGCTTTAAGGTCCCTTCCAAGCCAAACCAGGCTGTGATTGTATGTAGTTGTCACCAAGTTGGTGAGAGTTGTCTCTCAGCGTGGTGTTCAGCTCTGGGGCCTGCAACACAAGAGGTATGTGGACCTGCTTGAGTGAGTCCAGAGGAGGCCACAAAGGTGCTGTGGGGGCTGGAGCACCTCTGCTATGGAGCCAGGGCTGAGAGAGCTGGGCTGGGTGAGCCTGAAGAGGAGGCTACAGGGATACCTTAGAGCAGCTTCCAGTGCCTGAAGAGGGACTATGAGAAATCTGGAGAGGGGCCTCTTACAAGGGCCTGTAGGGACAGGACATGGGGGAATGGCTTTAACCTGACAGAAGGGAGATTCAGATGAGGTACTAGGATAAAAATACACTGCGAGGGTGCTGAGGTGCTGGCACAGGGTGCCCAGAGAGGCTGTGGCTGCCCCATCCCTGGCAGTGTTCAAGGCCAGGTTGGACACAGGGGCTTGGAGTAACCTGGTCTAGTGGAAGGTGTCCCTGCCCATGGCAGGGGTTGGAACTGGGTGAGCTTTGAGGTCCCTTCCAACCCAAACCAGTCTGGGATTCTGTGGCCAGTTGGTAAGAGAGTTTTAATAACAAGAAATTAAAAATGTAAGTTGCAACATTTACAGCATGAATCACTGCCACAGTAAACATTTTAAAAAGCCAAAGAATGTTCATCACCCAGTACTTTTAACAGTCCCTTTTCCAATTCAGATCCAGTCCAGATGTGTTTGAATCCCGTATGGAAAAAAGAACTGAAGTGAAAAAGCAGCCTGTGGGATACTCCAATCAGGGAGAATTTATCAGATGCATGGAGGAAAAGGTAAGGCCAACTTTCTTTGTAATTCACATGTATTAAAGCTATAATGCCATGTCTATAGGATTAGCATAATGCTGTGAACGTAAAGTGTTCCCATTAGTAAGGAGCTCCAGAATGTCACTCTCTGATGGCTAGAAGTATTGTTCTGTACTCCAGTGTTTAATTTTTCTGGGTTTTAGACTAATTTCTGTGCTTGAAGCCTTGTTTAAGTTGCTTAATTAGTTCCAGATTGGTTTAGCCAAATGGAGGGACATGATCTTGCATATATCATTTTTTAGGGAATGTAAGAAAACTGTTCAGTAATACTGGATCCAAAGTGCATAATAGTTTGCTTTAAATTAATCCTTTCTGGCCTTTAAATTAATAATTCATTAGGTTACTCGTCTTTCTTCTAATTAATAATTTTATTCAAAATGCACTGCAGTGAACTCCAAGTATCTTAAACTTGAGCTCTTACTCAGGAGATTTTTGTCATCAGGCATGTTATGCATGGCAGGGAAGGAAAATAAATGGTATTAAAGCATCAGCTATAAAAACTAAAGAATGTTTTCTTCTAGGCAAAAGGCTTGGGCTCAAAGACATCTAAAGGTGGATTCACAAAAGACAAGGTAAGGGAAACAAACCTTCATGTTAGGAGAGGACATGCTGATAAATTAAGGATGTAGATGTATTGCTACCATCACTGCTTCAGCCAAGAGCTTCTTGACATAAAACTGATCTTCCTTATGCTGCAATTGATTATAAGATTTTAATTTACTGTTGGGATTGTGTTTGATCTTGAAACTCCTGGCACTTTGCGTTTTTAGTATCCTGTCATTTCTCTCTGACACCCTGGAAGCTCCTGCTCCTGAGAGAATCTGTACTGAATGCTCACAGCAATAAACAGCAAGGGTTAAGCTGCCTGTACAACGTGTAAATAGATTTCCAGAGATCAGCCAGCAGAGGGACAAGAGGCTGGTTTTACTCTCTTCCACATTTCTTGTATTTTGGCAAACTTACTGTGTAAATATGTCTTGAGATGGCTGAAGGTGAAAGGCTGCAGCTCCTCTTGCAGCTTTCTGCACAGCTGGAGCAGCGTGTTCTGTGTCCTGAAAGTATGTCTTCTATTTTGACTCAGTGTGTGATTCCACTTCTCAGTGTGCTACTGCTTATAATTTACTGGTTTCTTTGGCAATTAGGAAGACTAAGTCACACTGTAAACTGAATGAAGCTATTCTAGCTTGAGTATGTTCTCTAATTGCATCCATTCATTCTGGATTCTCACTTCGATCGGAGAACTGCCATCATGCCGGATTCCTTATGCCTTCTCTTACAGACACTTGATTCAATTCTGAATGTTGAGATGGTGAAAGAAAAGTCAGCGGAGGAGATAAAACAGGTGATGGATTTAAATTGAATGTGCTTAATAGTAATCTGCATATGAGAATGGAATTTTACTCAGCCATGTTTTATTTTTCAGTCTACAGATGAATATTTATTAAAAGCACATTGACATGCATATTAGTAGTAGAAAATAATTTTTTTTCCATATATGTAAGTCCACCTAGGATGTAGCTTGGTACATCTGGACTTGATTTCTCAGAAACTGACTCTACTGTAATTCTTATTGTTGCCATTTAGTGTGTAGCAGTTGAATTGGTGTTAGCAAGCTCTGGTCAGGTTTGAAGCCCAGTAAAGGGAAAACTTAGCAGTAGTTCGTATGGATTATACTACATCTGTTCTACAGAAATAAAATCAAAGCTTTTGCCACCTTGTACCTTTCTTTGCATTGTATCTCATTTAGGAGCCTGTGTACTGAAGTTGGTTAGGGTGAGAAGGAGGTGGATGGGTCTGTTTCTTTGAAAAACAGTGTGAAGGGAATTATTCTTCCTGTTATCTGCTTGGCTTTGCACTGTATTCCCTTTTATCTAGTTATAAGTCACATCTGTTGCACATTTCTGATGTAGCTTGAGTTGGATCGATACTTTTTTTCCTTATCAGTCTGTATGCCAAGAAACTATGTAGGCACGATCATTTGAAGGAAAGCAGCACATATGAAGGAGCCTTCTGGCACAGCTTGGAGAGCAGAAACCTAGAGGCTTTCCTGATAGCTTGAGAACATTATAGAAGTAGTTACATGCTCTGCAGGGATGGTGTGCAACCAGTTATAGCAGGGAGTGGTTTGATAACTCATGAGTTCCTTTTGAGTTCCTCTACTTCTGTTTCGTTGAGTAAACATTTTACGGACAATTCTCATTAATTCTGTAGGACTGGGGAAGAGCAACTGAAAAAGTCCTGAACTCTGGGCTTTTACCTGTGCTTGTCCATTTATTAAAGACTCTGAGCTTTTATGTAGGTAGTGCTATCCTGCTGTGATGAAGAAAAAGGTTGTGAACATGGGGAAGCGTTATGCAAAGACTTGTCTTCTCTTAAATGTTACACTTAGAAGTGTATTGTGTTAGCAGGAAAGTCAGTCAGGTTTGAAAAATGACTTCTTGAAGTGCTTACAAAGGTTAGTTGACAAAGGAAATTTCTTGTAAAGCATTTAGTATTACTGCTTTTAACTGTTATTATTTTAATTTAATATTGCTGATCATAACTGTACACCATCTCCTCTGTTTCCTGCAGATTTGGAATCAGTATTTTTCTGCAAAAGACACGGTTTATGCTGTTATTCCTGTAAGTAGTTCCTCTGTAGTTATGCATTTGAAAGGCCAGTATGCAAAGCTTTCTTTTCTAATTGTGATTCTGTTGCTTTTAAAAGCAGTCATTGAAGGAAAATGAGGTTACAAGAACAAATTTTCTTTCCAGATTCAGTGGTCTTACTGTCCCAAATGAAGGCTAAAGGCTTTTTTTCCCCACACCAAAAATGTGTACTCCTTTTTTTCCTCGCTTACATCAGTCTCAGTAAAGCCAGTACCTTTTTCTGCACATCTGGCTTGAATTTCCAGGCACATTTTATTATGAGTATCTAATACTCTTTGCAGGGCCCTGGTATCTGTTAAGGTAGCATTTATATTTTCACATCATTTTTTCTAAGTGTTGCTTATTTCTTTCTTGTCTTCCCTGCAGCCTGAACAGCAAACTCCAGTTGAATAGGGCAGTACTAGAGCACTTGGCTAATGATTTGCACGTGGCTAATCACTTATGACTTACCTTCATACATTTAAAATTATTGGCAGTGCTGTCTTTCACTGAGATTGCATGGTGCTTCCTGTGATAAGATCTTACTTCTTATTCCTGATGACTTTCCCAGATGTTAATTGTTGTTAATCTGCATTAGGCTGAAGGAGGTTTTTTTCACTTTGGGGATTTCTTTCCATTCTTTGCTTCAAAGTCTCTATGTGATTGTGATCTCTTAAATCTGTCTTTTCACATCTGGGCACAAACTGTATGTTCCTTGAGTTCTTGAAACCTCATTTAGATCTGGGGTCTGATTTGCAATTGTATTTGGCCTTTTGAGCTGCAACTGAAGTTGGTGGGAGGCTGTATCCTAGATGTATGAAGTGTTGTACGCCCTTGATATGGCAACGTGGGATTTGAAGTTGAGTGGCTTCATGTTTCAGTTTTCCCAACATGTGGATCTTGTGAAAACAGTTTGAATCACACATTTACCATAGCAGAAGGCCAAAGCCGGGGACTCCAGTTAAGACGGTGTAGATCTTTCATTAGTGGGGCTGGCACTATTCTTTGGTGCACTGCTTTAGAGGAGCTTTGGAAGCTTTTTAAGGCTTTAATGCAAACCAGGTCCTAGGCACATTAGGAGGTAGTTCATGGTGTCATCTGATGTGGGGAAAAACTCTGTATCTTTTGCCAAAAGCTTTTTGTTGGCTGGAAGAAAGGCCTTGCCTAATTCTTGAGTGCTCAAAAGCACGCATGGGGGAATTTCATGTTTGATGGATATCATGTGTTTTCTTTCCTGAACACCTTAGACTATTAATGTGCTGTGCTGGCAAGAAAAGTGCAGACAAAAGGTTTGGGGGAATGTAGAGAACATGTGAATGACATTACCAGGTTTCATCAGGGATGACCAAATGTATTTGTGGCTTTAATATAAACCTAAGCAATAAGTATGTTACTTGAGTAAATATCTAGGCTGCATTTTAATACTGAAGAACAGATGACTGTGATGTAAAATGCACAATTTGAGGCCAGGGATATGTCGCCCTGCTCAACTGTTGACACCACAAAATGCGGTGGACCTATTACTCAAAGAGGACGTAATGTAAGTCTGAAGTGTGGGCCCCCCACCTCCAAGGAATAAAGCTTTGGATCCAGAAAGGAGTTTGCTGCTGTATCTTGGAGACAGCATTGTTAAAACGGGATACCAATGACATTTGGGTAACTAAGAACTAAATGCAGTTTTCCATGCACTCATTGTTAGCTGCTCCCGCAGTGAGACCTTGTGTAGATGGAAGTTGTACCCTATAAAGGTTAATGAGATGATTCTGAATTATTGACTTTCTGTTTCTCCTTCTCCAAAGGCAGAGAAGTTTGATTTAATATGGGAGAGAGCCCAGAAATGTCCATCGGTACGTATGGAAGATACAGCGTGTGGATGTAGAGCTGTAATGCAGTTCTCCTCTCTAAAGCTTAATTCATAAACCTTTGACCCTCCTCTATTCAGACTCATTGTATCAGCTCAGTAAGTAAAATCCAAGTGTTCGTACACTCGTCTTAGTGTTCAGATAAAAGCAATGGCTATTTATATGTATTAAACAGTTTGATCTAGCGATCAGATAACTAGAGATGAGAGATGTAGGGTTCAGAAAACAAGCACAGAATCTCCCAGGGAATGGATTTAGCTACAAGCCATTGTTTTCCATGAATTGATGTCTTGTGGTTAAGTCTCTTTCATGCAGTGCTATGAAGAGCCAGGCTTTTTAGGCCAGCTTCACTGATATTCCCACATATCTTTTCTTATTGCTCAAAGCACGCTTGCTTTAACCCAGAGGAACTGTTGTTGGCTGTAACTGTGAGTCACCATGGCATCACACTGTGTGTGTGTGGGGAAAGGGAGTTCTCTTGTCTTAATGGCTGCTGTGAGTTGCTCCTCTATATGTTTCTTTTCTGGCAGTGGAGATAATAGGCAGGAGTATCTGATAGAGAAAAAGACAAGAAATCAACATGTTGGGGTTTTGTCCAAATAAGAGCTGAACCTTGTCATCTGTTAGCCTGCTTTTTTGTCAAATGTGCATAGCCATGCTTTCTTCACCATGCTGTTGATCTGTCATAGATAAATACTGGTAAGCTAATAAGAGTCATTTGCATGGAAACCATCCTGGGCAGGCACCTTGCTGTGTCAGTGATGTGTCTGTTTCCAAGGGAGAGTGAGTTGTCAAAAAAGCCTATGTGTAAGCTCTGTTGCACAGCATTGTAATTCAACAGTTGTGATGGAAAGAAAGTGGGAATTAGGTGTAGCCGAACCCTTTATTAAGGTTCGTAAAGTACTCTGTGGGTTATGTCTTAGGTGTATGCCAGCATGGCAAAGCCTAAAATACTGAGAATGCGTAACAGGTTTATTTCAGAAATGAGTGGATTCCCAAGATTTGGATTCACTGTTTCTCATGTGGGTTGGTGGATATATTATAAGATTCCTTTGTGAATGAGTATGTTGTTGCTTTGAAGAAGTTAAGCTACAAAAGAGCAGAACTAACAAGCTAAAGGATATCTTTTGTTTGTGCTGCTGGATTAGCATTGTTTTCAGTTGAAAGTAAGTTTTTACAGTAACTTGTGCACTGAAGCATTGCCTTTGTGCAAATTTTGCTGTGCTGACACAGAAATCAAATGCTTCATTTCCTTATGAAAACAAAGTACCTAGACTTCACTGTGTTAGGAGGAGTGCTTTTGCAGATCTGAATGGGAGAGTTTACTGGATAGGTGGATTGGTCCTGTATGTTCCACTTGCCAAGAGCAAGATCAGCCATATCCGGCTTCCCGAGCTACTTGGAACTTGGAAAGCTATTTATAGCTTTAAGTACATTTATGTACAGTGCATTGGCATTTAGTCAGGTATCCTGTATGTTTTTCTCCTCTTGTGTTGTCCTTCCCCTTGGTGTGGGAAAATGAGCAAGTCTCTAACCTATGGAGCTTAATAGATTGTAAATCTCTAGAGAGAAAATGCTTGCTGCCTGTTCTGAAACAGTTGGTGAAATTACAGGATTACATACTCTGAATGCTCCTTATGTCATATTTTACCATTCTCTGTTAATTCCGTAGAAGTGAACAGAAAGGTCAGAGTCTGAATGTTCTCCACTGTCCTGTCCTTTCCTTTCCCTGTCTCATAGAACACTGATAAAAATATATGCCAACATATTTGCTAATGAAATAATACTGATAAGGTAATGCTGGTTTATTGTCTGGTTCCTGCTGCCCTGTCATTCTTGGTGGGGCAAGGAAACCCCTTTATCTGTTATGGTTCTCTTTCCAAAGCATTTACGCTGGAGACCAGTATTACATGGGCACCGTTTTGTTCTATGAAAGGCTTTGTTTGAATTGGTTTTACTAATTTTTTAATCATTTCTCTGCAGTTTCTGTATGCTTTGCCAAGAAAAGAAGGCTACGAGTTCTTTGTGGGGCAGTGGTCAGGAACAGAATTGCACTTCACTTCCCTAATAAACGTTCAGGTGAGTGGTTGAAATATAAAGTCCAAAAATGGCTTAGGATCCAGCAATACATACTACCAGCATATTACAATATCTAATACTTGCTAAATAGTTTAATGAACAGGTTGTCTAGCTTAACTTGAAAAGAATTATCAATGAAAAACTGACATTAATTATGGGTAACTTAATTAAGGGTAAATTAGTAAGTTTATGGGTATCAAGTGTCTCTCTAAAAGGAGGATGAGGTAGAAGTCACATAGTCTCAAAATAGAAGCACAAGCCAAACTCTTCAGAACTGTTTGTGCAAGCTATTTACATTACCAGTCAATGCTATAAGATGAAATGTCATCCTGGAAATTGTGGGTTCTTTTAAATGCAAAATGGTCTTTAGTCATGAAGAAAACCCAGCCTAACTCTGCAAATCCCTTGTTTTCTGTAAATGCCAGGAATAATAAAGTTTTAATTAGAACTGACCCTTAAGCCTTGAAAGATGACTGCCTCCATAGCAGTTAATACTCAAAAGTTTTGTAATAAAGCCTCCAGATCTACAGTAGAGCTAAAGTTCTTCATGGGATGCTGATGGGTTTCTTTATCTCCTTCAGACCCAAGGTGAAACTGCCCCTAGCCAGTTGGTCCTGTACCATTTTCCTGATCTACAGAAGGAAAAAGGGATAGTTCTAATGACAGCAGAAATGGACTCCAAGTTCTTGGTAAGAGAAATCTGCTCACTGTCTTCCTTCATTTTATGCTGCAACTCCTCGTACAGGTTTGAATTAAAGCCAAATTGAAATGAAGTCTTTAAAAGACCCTTTCCCAAAGAATGGTCTTACAAGATTCCTTTAACCTAATCTACTTAGTACTAGGGAAAGCTAGAAGGGAGTCACCAGTCTTTGTCTCTCTGGTGATTTCAGCTCATGCATTCTTTTGTTTTGTTTGTTACTTTTGTTTTTTTCTTATTAATAAAAGCAAATTGAAGTGAAATGTGTTGCTACCTGCCAACAAGTTAAAGAAGTGTTTTGAATACTGCTTGTCAAATCAGGAGACCTCCAGTGCTTCTTGTTTCCATGCACCTTTGCTCTTTTTTCTATGTGTGGGTGTGCTGTTACTTGCATATCTGCAGTAGTACAGTGCTAGGACTAATTGTACCGGGGATTGAACTGGTGGAACAAGATAACTAAAGCATCCCATCTCTAACTGACCTACTTACACCAGTTCTGAAGCAGTGTGCAGAGGAGTGTGCAGAGAACTCATTGGTGATGCATTTGCCCCGTTGTGTCTCTTGAGTAAACAATCAATTTTTGCAAATAGGTCAACCATAAGAAGGGAAAGATGAGACTTTGGTGCATATCCAGTGTCTTAGAGCTTGCAGGGA